TGCGAACTTGAACTTTCTGTCTTTACAATTGCCATCAATCAAGCCCCAATTAGAAGAGACTAATCCTGTTGCAACATAAGAAGGTGGTCAATGTTATTTGCAGGTTTAGAAAGATTAATAAACGTGGTATTGGCAAAATTTTGGTTCCCAAATCCAAGTCTTTGCCATAGAAAAAGAAGAAGACGGGAAATAAATGAGGATAGGCACTGAGTCTGACTGGTAGTCGCCCTCTCTTTCCCAATTAGGTACTGTAACTCCTGTATAGCCAGGATCTACAGCTTGGCCTCCAATGAAACCCAACCAGTGAAGGTTGAGTATTCCCTGAGACTTTTCTTAAAGGTACCTACTTACACCTTTATTTTATTACCTATTACGCGCTTTACCCTGAAGGGAAGTCGAACCTTAACTTCGAACTCCTCCTATGTTCTTTTTGACTTGCTGGACAAAATTGACCTTCACTGGATGGGTTTTTATTGGCGGTCAAGCTGTAGTTACTGGCTACACAGGAGTTGCAGCGGTGGGAACGAGAGGTGGAATAGTCCCGTTAGTCCCGGGTATAGTTGTCTTAGAACTTCCTCAATCCCAGCCTCAAAAACTGCCACTTTTTCAGGCACGTGGCCTTGAAAGCAGATGATTCTACTTATTTAAATATAATATAAATAAATATAATATCCTTGGACATTTTACCGTGATTTTACACTGCGCTGCTAGCCCCAAACTAAGCAAAGCTTGTACTATGGGTACTAGACAACGGATATAAACATACCTCCTTAAATACTTTTTTTTTTGTAAATACATACATATTATACATAGAAAACACCCAGACCCGTCACAGAAATTAAAATTCATCATTTCAATTTCTGTCCGACCGGGAAAATAACCCGAGACCTCTCGGCATAGTAGTCCGTTCTGAACCACTACACCAAACGGCCGACGAAATACCTAACGTGATAATAGTTGATAACGTAACTATTGTAAATGGCATCAATTCGATGCACCTTGGCCCACTGTCGCTAAGCTGTTGCTTTGTTAGACAATCCATCCTAATTTGTGTCACCTTGCCACGCACTGGGCCTTTTATTTAAAGGCAGTTGGTACATAGACTATAAATCACGACGTCTTTGATCTAGGATCCTCCTAGCCCAAGTACGGGTTTGGATCCCACGGGGGACAAAAAGTTAAGTGTACCTACACATGGAGGTTTTTTAATGTGTACCTATCTATTTGTTATTGTAGCAGCGTAGCAGGTAGCTTTAAGCACTGCTTGTAACAAATACCTATTGGTGCGACAGCTTTTAATTAAATTGCATAAAAAATATCCGACTTTTTGCAGACAATCTAATTTACTTATTTATTTAAAAAATGAAGAAAATTAAACTTTTTTGTGATTGACCTTTAGGACATGTTGTGAGGCATATGAACCAGATTTACCTAATGTTTAAAAACCTCATTTATTTCTTTTATTCAAAGTTACAACGAAAAAAACTGATATTATTTTTAATTACTATTTCAAGGAAAACAACACTTTACACATATTCGCTGTATTTTATTCCACAAAAAAGACGTTCGAAGAATCTGTAGCACTTCCATTATTTTTTGTGATCGACCTTATTTTTATGTTATGAAAACTTCAAACTTTATTTTATCTTTCGAAATCTTAACATGGCATTTATTAAATACATGTAAAATGTGAATTGTCTTCATCACTATAAAATTTATCCATTAGGTTGATTCTAACGAAACTATCTCTTAACTGTCTCATTATCACTGCAGTAATGTCATTCAAATATCTATTTATTTTTATGAATAATAAACTGTATGTCAAATTATTAAGCAAACCGACTTTGTAGTTTTGGCCTTTTGTTAACGGTGGTAGTTAATTAGGGATTCGTTTGCGGATTACTTTGTTACAAAACCGTGTAAATACTATCGGACGGTTAGGCCTAAAAGGTAAAGGTCGTCCGTCCATAAGGAAATTATGACCGCATCTTCAAAATTCGCGAAGGTGATCAGCTATGGAAATGTAATCTGGTGAGGCACTAGGCAAGTCTAATTATAGTTATTTTTTTCGTTTCTTCTTAATGCGTGTTATGTTGTTATTTTTCAGTTAGATAAATATCATAAAGTCGGTGCTAATTTTAAAATCGAGCGATCGGTATGTTTACTGACTTCGAGTCATTATGACAAAATAAATATATTTTCATAAGATGGTAAAAGTCACTTTCTCCATAAAAACTTTCATCCCTATTTAACCCTCCTTCTATGTTTTTAAGAATCCCAATAATATGTAGGTACCTACCTTATTGTCTTGTTTGAACCTTCAAAAAATCATCTACATTCTGTCAGCGGCTTAGACTATGGGTTAGGGGTAAATAAATGTAACAGACGGGGCAGATTCCATTCATATTAATTACCTAGGTACCTACTTACCTACATATTTCCTTTTCGTTTACGTGAGAGAGAATACAAGAAAACAGAATTTCAATATGTACCTACTCGTAGTAGGTAGGTACTAGGTACATAATATGTCCCTGGTCTTTCAACCAGTAGGTGTTAGACACTATAAGCACCATGTTAGCGATCTGGTTAACCTTTAAGTTACGCCATGATGCGTCTCTGAATTAGTTTTCCGGTTTTAATGTCACTGATACTATCACATCATAATCCTCATCAGCTTAGCAACTTAAATTACACCCTATTAAATCCCCTTAAAGTTCACTTTGATCTGATAATAAACTAATTTGGACCATATGAGTCAGTTATGGGTAGGCCAGCATCTAAGTAACAGAAGTCACGAAGCAGTTAACATTGCATTAACAAACGTAAGTTTTAATTAAATCTTAATGTGAAGATCTATTTGATACATCATTCCGAATGGTGAATAAATTGATGAAGTTGTTAAAGGGTACTAACATAATACCCATATCGATTTAGAGCTGATAAAGGTTGCATTTTAACCCGTTGCTTTGCATGCAAATGTATTGGATTTATCGCAGAAATATTATTTGATAGAAGTAGGCCTAGGATGCGCGCCGCGATAAGCGGTTATCACGCCATTTTATCGATTTTGCTCATACATTTTGACGTCGATAAGAGTCTATCACGGCGCGTACCTATCCTAACCCGGCTGGATAAAAAAGTGCATTATGCTTTGGGAAATGAAGTTATCTAGCTACTCTAATTTAATAGCTGATGGTTGGTGCTGATTAAATGAGACCATAATAAGAGCAATTAGCTTATCAACATCATCATCAGCTCTAGAATACAGCCTCCTCATGAAATGCCACTATCACGGTAATACTATCATACAGTATTGTAACTTCATATAAACGGACGAAACGCGAGCTTTCCTTCGAAATTCAAATCTCGGTATGCGCTCGACATGCAAAAGTCGGGGGTGTCGCGAATGTGCCACAGTAATAAACGGACGATGTGTCGTTTTTTAAACAGTGTTTTTTTATAAAAATAATTACAAGTAGGTACCTATTTATACAGGGTGTTAGGTAAATGGGTTTATAAGCCGACACTAGCCCATGTTAACATTTATGCATGTAATTTATGCATGTGGTATGGTGAAGTCAGTGATATCATTTCTTTTAATTTTCATACAAAATAATATTTACAAAATCAGATTTGTATGAAATAAAATTATTAAAATGATGATATCAATTTTCTGACTTCATCATACCATTTATATGCACATGTTAACATGGACTAGTGTCCGCTTATAAACCCATTTACCTAACACCCTGTATAATAATCAAGCATTTTGTACGCCTCAGTCGAGGCGCATACATTTTACGGTCGCAAATTTAAAAGATTTGTTACTATCTTAACACAAATATTTTTTTTTAATTAAATCTATTATTGACAAGACAACATGCATTTTTATCCTATTTCATTCACAAAGTATTTTTTTTGTTTGTCAAAATAAAATTAAAAATTACAATCACAAAATACATTCACAAAACTAGATAGAAATTCTAAGTAGGCAGATGTTATGAAAATAGGGTCTGCAGGTGGGCAGCCCTATCGCATGTTGTCAGTCGGTGACGTACCGCGCGGCTGTTGACATTTATTTCAAAAATATGGCCGAGTTGGAATACTGTATAGATATCATTACCGTGCCACTATGGTCTTTTCAGCCGTCTAGTGAACAACTAGGAAATCTCCAAAAGGCAAAACGATTTGTCAGAATAGGTCAACTTTTTGTTAGTTGTTCCAACCCACAATTTTGCGCGCATAACGTATTTTTAAAATGAATAGATAATTTCGTATTATTTTTATGTCTATCTATTACATAATGGGTATCTGTATAATAATATCACTGATGAGTATGTAATAGTTCAAGGACGTTCGTCAACTCCTGTTTGAAAATATTAGTTTATGTCATCGGATTACAATGTCATAATTTTTCAAAGGAATCTTATAGATAACTTTAAGATAAACTAACAATTAATTTATCATACATCTGAGACATACATGAGTAAGATCGATATAGGAGTAGAAGATACTAAAAGCAATAAAAAAATTAATTAATGAAACCGCAACACAAACCTATTATGAAAAGTTACATTTTAGTCATATCATATAATTTGATTCACCCGTAACTTACTGTCTTAAAAAATTTAGTATTATTTGAACCTATAAATTAACTTCGGATAACTCTACGCAGCAGGATAATAAGAAGCACTTTACTTTGGTACAGCTTGAGCACTTAAGATAAAATCTATTTGCTATCCAGCTTTTCGCTGCATCCCGCGAGGATAGCTCCGATGCCAGCTCGAACCAACTGGAACGGTGCCAGCTACGTGTCTCAACTTCAGACACTGAACAATTTATGTGTTAGGTCTACACGCCAAATGATGGCGAAATGCTTTTCATGAAAGCAATAGGAATTTCATAAAAAAGGCTGTATGTAAAATACCAACCTTATTTTCAAAGACTGGTCGTTTAAAAAGTAAAATGACAGAATTGTGACAGTGAATCAACATCGATGCTGTCATCGCATTTAATGCATTTCTTCGTGCAATATTATTTCAATTTTGTTTTTTAAATAATGGATAAACAATCAAGTTCAGCAAGCGATTTGTCATTGGATAGCTTAGATACCGAATTCAGGAAGAAATCTATCCGTAAAACAACACCATCGGATGAAAATGTCGACACAATTTTGGTTCCCTTTTATGAAAACGATGTCCTCATAAAAGTTCCCAAAGATCAGAAAAGAAAACATAAACAGGAGAGTAACAGTAAGTTGAAGAAAGAGTTCCAATGTACAAATAGCTACCTAATTAAAAAAGATGTAAAGAAGTCCAAACGGACGACGTATTTAGAAATGTTTCGTAAACAGTTTGCTCCAGCTAAGGTGGATAAGAAACAGGAAGAAAAAGAGATTCGTTCAATATCTCCGGAGTATGGTGACACTGAAAGGGAGAGCATTGGTGATGATGACAACAATCAAGCTTCAGAGTTTTATAACACCGAGTCCTACAATGAAATTTACTATGACAAACTCTTGAATCAAGAATTGGAAGGTTATTTAGAAAACTCCTTTGATGAGGGGTTGCGTTTTGAGGAAAAGGCTTTGCGAAGTGATTCGCCAGACGGTTCTGCTGATAACAACCTTAAAAGTGTTTCTGAAGTGTCCCAACCTCGCCGTCACACGAGGAGAGCTACAGTTCAACCTATACAGAACGTCAAATTAGGTGGTCTTGGTCCAGACATGGAGAAAATTAAACCAAGACTGGAAAGAGCAAGGAGCTTGCAAAGATATTCTGAAAAGGTAAGAATGGAAAATAGGCTCAGAATTTATAAGAAATCGGTTCAAGCTGACATAGAAATGAAGGCAGAAAGAGAAAATTCTGCCAGACGTAGAGATTCTGCCAGAGAAATTAAAAGAGTCGACCAAAGTGCCTCTTATCTGGTTAACAAGTCAGTAGATGAAAAAGCGGTTAACAAATTGTACTCAAAATCAAAATCGGCTGGTGGTCAGAGGGCAAAGGAAAGAAAAGATCTCCTCAAAGATGAGAGAACTAAGAAAACAAATGAAGACAAACAACATAAGCAACAAGATGCTAAAAGCAATAAGAAAGGACAAGTTAAATCTTCTAGAAACGAACGAAAGGTTCCTGATGAGACTGATCACAAAGTACAATCTGTCAAATCAAGTGCTAGAAATAGAGGCATAAATACTGATAAAGAGGCGGTTAGTAAGGTGATTCCTCCTGTGCAAATTAGTTTTATGGTCAATGTCGGTGGTCTCAGACCTTCCAGTGCGCTGCAAACCTTAGAAGAAAAGCACAGAATGTACCAGGAGCAAGTAAAAGCTTTTACGATGGATAGCAATAACATGTAGTTTTTTAAAGGTTTATGTTTTGTTGTTTATGAATTGGATTTAATAAAATTCATTTTAAAAGTGAATTGCCTTGGTTATTGTACTCGTATTGACTAATTAATGAACATTTGATACCAATCGATTAATTAGTCTATTGTATTGACTGATTTTTACCTGGTCGTTACATGGTAGTGTTTAGCCAAGTTTTGGGCCGAAGTACAAGTTATTCCACTATGGTTCACGTATAAGCATTTTTAAGTTTTCTGAGTTTGTTATAAATAGTTGGACTAATGGAACGGCTAGCATCTCACAAAATTTTTAAAATAATTTCACGTTAATTTTGTGTGTTTTGTTTTTTGGATGTTCCATACAGTTGCCACTATATTATGAACCATATCGCCTGGTCTTAAGTTAGAAGCATGATTTTTGAATTTGATACGCCTGTAAAAACCTTTATAATGTTACGTCTTTGTGCTAGCGTCAGTCAATGTCGATGCCGAGGACAAGAGAAAGTGCGGCGTTGACTGACGGCACCGAATTACTTAAGTTATTAGCACTAGCGAAAGATTATTAAATGAAGAGCTCTAATAACTTTCATTTTAACCCAGAGGACCCGGGTTCGATTCCCAGCAGTGGCAAAGTTTTTTGCTTGGTTTGGTTGGTAGAAGGCTTGTTGTAAATTCTCCCCTAGCCAGCTACTACCATCCTACTATCCTACTTCCTTCTTCTTCTTCTTCTTCTTTTCAGCCAAATGACGTCCACTGCTGGACAAAGGCCTCCCCCAAGGTTTTCCACAATGAACGGTCCTGCTTCCTACTAATATAATATTGTTGTCGTTGCTACTATCCTACTTCCTACTAATAAAGTTTGGATGTCTGGATGTCTGGATGTCTGGATGTCTGGATGTTTGTTACTCTTTCACGCAAAAACTACTGAACGGATTTCGTTGAAACTTTACAGTATTATTGTTTGTAACCCAGATTAACATATAGGTTATAATTTATGCCGATCTGTGACACTAAATTTCACGCGAAAATAATTTATAAGTCAGTCGCCGTAACAACAATGTTAACAGCATTGCCGTGTTTCGGCAGTTAAAGATATAAGATTCCTCTGTGATTGAGGATTCCAGGTGAAACTCACTTCCACTTTCGGCCTGCTTATCATTTTTCATCAGGTGAGATGCATGCCAAGAGCTGCCCCGTTTGGTTAAAAAAAGAAAAAGAGATATAGTCTATTAGTAGTGATAGTCTACTATAATAATCAGTTAGACTATTTTAAACAGTACCTAAAAATACTTTTATTTTACTTTGAGACACAGTGAGACACTTATGGCTTAACCTAACTAGGTCTTTGAAAGTTAGATCAACCTATTAGATTGTAATTACACCTACTATTTGCAGCACGTTCTAACGTTAAGAAACTAAATTACGATAATAAATTGTTTCATACTATACAATCACAATCTGATAAACACTATAAAAATGGTTACCAACTGAAAAAAATGTTAACAAGAATTTAAGTAGTTCAACGGAAATCTCTGGTTTAATTACATATCAGTAGTGCTAACATTTGGAAATCAAATTAACGTGCAATCCTCAAATGGTAATGCCTAGTGCAAGCATATGTTGTATCAGTGAGTTAGGTCAGTTTCACGCTAGCGATTTTGTTGCAAGTTCGTCCGTTTTAAGCTAATGTCGTCCAATGTCCAATGACTGGAATCGTCAATCGTCAACGTCGTTCAATAAACCAGTTATTTGGAGAAAGGTAGCAGTCAATTAAGACGATGGCTGCCGTCCGGCTTAATAATTAATACGAGAGCCTATGAATGAATTATAATAAATAAAGATTGAAATTATTAGTTGATTTATAGGTAGGTATTTAATTAATTCATGAGTTCGGTAAGAAAAACTGTTTATTGAAAGAAAACTGCTTTTCTGGGTCATTTATTGACAGGTTTATCTTAAGAACACACTGCTATTACAAATTACGAATACTGGACATTCACGGTCAGTTCAACTGATCAGTTTAACTGGCCGTGAATGTCCGAATTCATTGCTTCCCCGATTTCTCCTGCGAGAAAAAGTGTGTTACCACCTTTTCAGTTAACATCAAAAATCTTCCAGCGATTAGTAATCAAGTCCCTAATCGAAGGTTATTCCAATTGTAATCCGTTCGTATGCAGTAACCCTTATAATTTCCTCTTCCATAGATAGAATCCCTAATGAGGCCATATTGTATAACAGTGATATGGACTGGCGTGGTGTCTGACTTCGCGAGCATGGGTTTAAATACAACTTTAGATTACCAAATAGCACGCTATTTTAGATATTTTCTTGTTCGTTGGTAGGTATAACTATATTTTGCACCAATAAGTAGAGTTCAGTCTAAGATGAAATTAAAATTAAGATGATTAAATAACATTAGATAATTTTTTATCTTGCTGAAAAAATTCAATTTCGTGAACCAGTCTGCCTAGGATGCGCGCCACACGATATTAATTTTATCGTTAATTTTCGGCCAAAACGTATTGACTTGTCGTCTTAGATAATTGATAAAATGCTTCGATAAGATGATATACGGCACGCATCCTAAGCTAGCAGACCATTGTCGAGGGAATGCCCCTCATTATTATTTTTTAATGAGGANTTAGTCTATGGTATTGACTGATTTTTACCTGGTAGTTACATGGTAGTGTTTAGCCAAGTTTTGGGCAGAAGTACAAGTTATTCCACTATGGTTCACGTATAAGCTTTTTTAAGTTTTCTGATTTTGTTATAAATAGTTGGACTAATGGAACGGCTAGCATCTCACAAAATTTTTAAAATTATTTCACGTTAATTTTGTGTGTTTTGTTTTGGGTGTTCCGTAAAGTTGCCACCAAATTTTGAACCATATCGCCTGGTCTTAGAAGAATGTTTAGAAGTATGATTTTTGAATTTGATACGCCTGTAAAAACCTTTATAATGTTACGTCTTTGTGCAAGCGTCAGTCAATGTCGATGTCGAGGACAAGAGAACGTGCGCCGTTGACTGACGGCATTACTTAAGTTATTAGCACTAGCGATAAATTATTAAATGAAGAGCTCTAATAACTTTCATTTTAACCCAGAGGACCCGGGTTCGATTCCCAGCAGTGGCAAAGTTTTCTGCTTGGTTTGGTTGGTAGAAGGTTGTAAATTCTCCTAGCCAGCTACCACCATAATATTACCTATCTAAGTCATCGCCGTAACAACAATGTTAAAAACATTGCCTGCCGTTGATTCGGCAGTTGGAGGTAGATTCCTCCGTGGTTGATGATTCCAGGTGAAACTCACTTCCACTTTCGTCCTGATTATCACTTTCCATCACGTGAGATGCTTGCCAAGAGCCCTTTTGGGGTTCGTTCGTTTCAGCCAAATGACGTCCACTGCTGGACAAAGGCCTCCCCCAAGGTTTTCCACAATGAACGGTCCTGCGCTGCCCGCATCCAGGCTCTTCCCGCGACCTTTACCAGATCGTAGCGTGGGCAGGCCTCCTACTAGGTGGACCGACGATCTGGTAAAGGTCGCGGGAAGAGCCTGGATGCCTTTTGGGGTAAAAAAAGTAAAATAGATATTACTAATAGGAGCGTTACAAAATCAATTAATTTAACTAAATCAGTACTACTTTTATTTTACTTTGAGACACTTATGGCCTAACCTAATTAGGTCTTTGAAAGTTAGATCAACCTATTAGATAGTAATTACACCTACTATTTGCAGCACGTTCTAATGTTAAGAAACTAAATTACGATATTAAATTGTTTCGTACTATACAATCATAATCTGATAAACACTATAAAAATGGTTGTTACCAACTGAAAAAAATGTTAACAAGAATTTAAGTAGTGCAACGCAAATCTCGGGTTTAATTACATATCAGACATCAGTAGTGCCAACATTTCAAAATCAAATTAACGTGCAATCCTCAAATGGTAATGCCTAGTGCAAGCATAATGTTGTATCAGTGAGTTAGGTCAGTTTCACGCTAGCGATTTTGTAGCAAATTCGTCCATTTAAACCTAGTGTCGTCCACTGCTGGACAAAGGCAACCCTCACGGATTTCCGCAGTGACCGGTCCTGTGCTGTATCAATTTTTCGGTCCACCAAGTAAATAGGTAAGGGACTATATCTAAGATGATGGGACAGATTTATCTCGAAGGCAGCAGCATAATTTTGTAGTTTTTAATCCATAGATTATGTCGAATTCATTTCTGTACAATGTCCAATGACTGGAATCGTTAATCGTCAACGTCATTCAATAAACCAGTTATTGGGAGAAAGGTAGCAATCAATTAAGATGATGGCTGCCGTCCGGCTTAAATAATTAATACGAGAGCCTATGAAATGAGTTTTGATAAATAAAGATTGAAATTATTAGTTGATTTATAGGTAGGTATTTAATTAATTCATGAGTTCGGTAAGAAAAACTGTTTGTTGAAAGAAAACAGTTTTTCCGGATCATTTATTGACAGTCTTTTTGTGAACGATTGCTACTAAAAACTACGAATATTTAGGTATTTTTAATAGTATTATGTTAGAAGTGAGTTCCTGACGACAGGGATCATTCTTGTCACTTCTCCAATTTCATCTGTGAGAAAGAGTATTTCACCACCATATAAATGTACATTAACTTCAGCGCTCTACAGCGATACTCTCTCTAATCGAGGATCACATCATAATCCGTTCGTATGCAGTAACCCTTATAATTTCCTCTTCCATAGATAGAATCCCTAATGAGGCCATATTGTATAAGAGTGATATGGACTGGCGTGGTATCTGACATCGCGAGCATGGGTTTAAATACAACTTTAGATTACCAAATAGCACGCTATTTTAGATATTTTCTAGTTCGTTGATAGGTATAACTATGAGCTCTATATTTTTCACCAATAAGTACAGTTCAGTCTAAGATGAAATTAAAATTAAGATGATTAAATAACATTAGATAATTTTTTATCTTGCTGAAAAAATTCAATTTCGTGAACCAGCCTGCCTAGGA